TCGTCGACCTGTCTGCCATGTCCGAGCGGAACGTTCTCCGCCAAGACGGGTCTGTTCGAGGCGGCACTGTGCGGGAGTTGTCCGGCAGGATACTACTCAGAAGACGAAGGTGCGCGTGGAGAACAGGGTTGTAGCGGGTATCAGTCCTAGTCTTCACACCGCCCCCGCCCAGAAGGTTCTAAAAATACTCCACTTGACAGCCCCAGCCGAGCCAACTACAGCGTCTTTCGTGCCTGTGTCCCGAACCCTCATACAACCCGCGCATTATATATTTCTATTCCACCTAACGATACGCCTCTGATTCGCCATGTTGCCGCCCCACGGATTGGACTGAACCTTACTCCTCGTCCTCCTCACCCTCGTCGTCTCTACCTGCAATGACACGAGCAGGAGCCACGAGTATGGACGTGTGCCTGCCCTGTTCTTCTGGAAAATTCTCGTCGGAGCCTGGTGAGATGCGAGTCGACTCCTTGACCCCCTTCGGTGTAGATGCCCAACACATAGACCGAGTCTTCATCCCCACGATCGACTTGCCGCATAGAGACGTCGTTTCCTGGTGCAAGCTCCCGTGCAAGAGGGGTAAGATAGCGGAGTGCACGTACGTGCTTGCAGTGGTGGTACTATTGGCCAAGGTTTTAACCCTGCCACTGTAAGCTCCGTTTTGTTTGATACGTGTGGCGAATGTTCTGGAGACACGCCAAGGACAAGCATTGAATGAGCACGCACACACCCGCCGCCGCCGCTACCGCGTGGGTCTCTTTTCATTCGAGAAGCGTGGTCCATGGTCCAAACAAAGTCCAGAACAAGGAGCAAACGACAACGCCCCCCCATCCCCCCCCTGTGCCTACTGAATAAGTCAAGCGTGGGTCTTTCTTCGCCCTCCTCACCCCCAACTAGGCGCGTCATCCAGCAGGGCGTGCGAGCCCTGCCCCGATGGGTTCTCGTCGCTCGGAGGCAGCCACGAGTGCGAAACGCTCCTGGCGAACTCGCGGAAGTGGTTGGCGATCTACCTCGCCGTCGGAGCCTCCACCCTGGCTGGGATCTGCATCGTCTACTACACTTGGCAGAAGAAAGGTATAGTCTATATCGGGTACAATGGTGTTCATGTTGTGTCGCCTTACATGCACAGAACGGGTCCAAGTGCCGAGAGTTTGTCGAGGACGGGTGTTGTTGTGGTCTCTCCTGTGTTACAGCAGTGTTATTGTAGCAAAGGTGATGGAAATTTCCTCCGACATTCCTCCGGGAAGCGTGTCAAGTGGCATCGATAGAACGGTGCTACGGAGATGATGCGGCGAGAATCAAACTAGCGAGCGTACTTGCACGTCTAACAGGCATTGGGGCGCTGCGCCACACGCGCAACGAGGCTCAAAACAAATGTCAGAGCATGTGCCCCACATCGTGCCTCTCTCGCTCGTATCCGCCTGAAGTGGTACCAGCTCTGTTGCGCTTAAGCCCACATCATTCACCGCACGCCCCTCCCTCCACGCAACCCTCCACCCCGCCGCGTCTCGAGAACATGGTATTTCCGCTACGTTAGCACCCAAAGCATGCCCCTCTTGAAAAACGTTGTTTCACGCGTCTTGGTTCCAACGAACCGCACGATCCGCACGCAGTGCACAAGAAGAAGAAGCTAAAGGTCGATAGTCGGACGGAGACGCCGCTCAAGATGACCGGGGCCAAGAGGAAGGCGCACATGTGGGCAGTGTTTTTCCACACGTTGGAGACGATCGATGTCATCACGGTGGGCGAGGAGACAGCTAGATCAAGGCCGTGTGCGTTCGATGGGGACGTGTAGCCAGCCCAGGGGTGTTGGGGGCGTGCTCATATTTTGCGTGCCCTGGCGGTTAGACCAGTGACCACGCGTCCTCGAGCGGACGGAGCATTGTTCCCGGGCGGGCGGGGGTTGAGTTGATGGGATGAGCGCACTCAAGTACTGCTTCGCCGGATTTGTTTGACAATTGACCACCGCATTTAGCCGGGGCTGCCTGCGAGCCATTTGTTCGCTTCTTCTCGCATTTTTCGCTGCCTCGAAGCGTGGCCTGGTCGCACAAAACCTGCCCATGTTGGTCCTCATTTGTTTCGATCGGATTGTCGGGCCGCTCGGCACCCAGGGCAACGCCCTCTTCGCGTACCTGCTGGACATCGGCGCCATCCAGGGCGTCATGCAGTTCATCTACTGGCTCGTCGTGTCTCTCGGAGTGGCGCTAAACGTTTTCCGTCTGTACATGGTGAGCAAAGGATGTGCTTGTTATCTCGCCGGCGCAATTTTTTTGTATTTTTTTTCCGAGGATATATTACCCGTTGGACACCCACGAAGAACGTGCCTTGCACCCCCATCAAAGGCGCTTAGAAGGATAACTACTGTTTTATCATGACCACAGGCTATTCTTGGGGGCCTGAAAAACTCGCCCGAGGTTGTAAGCGACGCAGTTGTGTTGTACACGGAGCACACCAGCAGTTGCCGGTGCACGAACGCACCCGTTGAATGGGGACAGGCACCTCAGAAGACGGGCCTGGGTGGAGAAGCCGCGACCTGGTTTCACCGGCATGCCTAGAGTCTTAATTTTGAGGACGACAGTAAAGTCCGCTCTTTACATAGCTTCCACAATACCCATATTACATCCCGCATGGACCTCGTTCACAGCAGCTACATACACAGGTCCGGGGAAGTAAACAAAAGTGTCAATACCGCCCGTCTGCTCCCCCCGCCATTGCAAAAGATAATCTGGATGAAGTGGATGCTAGTGAACGTCTCGGTGGCGGAGAGGGTTGATAAGGAAGGGAAGAAGGTCCTCGTGGTGTACATGCCGGCCAACCAGTACTTGCCCGGGAGGAGGCGGTCGGACCGGCGCATCATGACCCCCGACGACGCCAAGATGGTGCTGGAGCTCGTGAAGGTCCGCCCCATGTTTTCTATTGCCTTACCGCTTGCCACCCAGCTGCGACGACGAACCAGAGGCCTTAGAAAATAGTCTTCGGCCGCGGGAGGGTGTAGTGTGGACCACGTGGAGCTCTCTGGTTCTGAAACACATCGGATCGTCGTTTTGATATTTGTTTTTACCAATGGCTGTGCCACTGATACGACGCCCACCGGTGGAGCTCCTAAGCCTTGAGGCCCGACCCTCGATGTTTCTCTTGAGTATCGAAACACCGATGCCGGTTGAGGCGCTCTGGGAAAGTAAGCTAGATCATTTATCTCACACGCCTCGCTGCCCAAGTCCGTCATGACTGACCCCCCCTCCCTTCTTTTACGCGCGTCTTTTTTGTTGCGGCCGGTGCAGATCCTAAAGCATCTCCAAATTAACAAATTTAAGGTGCAGCTGGCCGTCGTCATGGACTTGCCCCTTACCGTCCTCAACCTCTGGCTCTTGTGGATGGTGGATCCGGAGCTGATCAAGAGCGCCCTATTTCTGACCAGCCTCATCATTGCCGTCTTCAGCGCTGGCAAGATCAGCACGCTAATTGAATATCACCTGGAGCTGCGTCAGCGCAAGCGCAAGCTCGAGAGACTCTTGCTTGTGAGTTATCCGTCGTCGTCGTTACGATGATCAATATATGGTTGTTGTTTCACGTGTGAAACTTTTGTTCCCTGCCGTCTACTTGTTGACTTCACGTTCCACACGCATCTCACCGGTAAGAGACGAATACGGGGCGGACAAGTCAATACCCCCCTCTAAGTAGAGCGCAAGACCCCCCCCCGCCCCAACACAAACACCAGGCGTCATCCTACCCATGGTTGCATCGAGTGTGCCTTGGCATGAGCGCGATGAGTGCTCATTGTCGAAGGGGCCATGACAACAGCCTTTTGTGTAAGGGTGATCTGATGGTAACTCCGTAGCCAGCCCGTCCCGCCGTCGTTCCATGCTCGGCCGTTTCACCCCAGCAAGAAGAAGAGCAAAATACGTTTGTCTTTGGTGTCGCCGAAGCTCGTGCCATCCCGTGTGCTTCGACACAACGCGACGGAGCACGCACATCATCCTATCTCCGGCCCATCGCACTCTCACTTTTGATCGACCGTTGATTTCGTTGGTGTCGATGCCTGCGCGGGTGGTGCTGTTCCGGTGACTGCAGCTAGAGCTGAGGAGCTCCCGTAACGGGTACGACGACGACATGATAGTGGAGGACAACAGTCGCAACGACACCCAAGAGGCAAGCACCGTAGCCCTACCACATAGTGCCGCTTCATGTGCCTACGCCGTCCCTCATGGCACATATATATGTGTGTATGCATGTCCGTTGTACGATGTTCAGAGTTAGTCTACCATGGCGCAGCTACACTCGTGTCACGCACGTAGCACCACGTTGTCGCCATTCCGCGAGCCATGAAGTGGTGAAGAGAGGTTCTAAACAACGGCGCACCGATAGTGTAGTCGATCAACGCTTAGACTATTGATGCGACATCAAGAGTGGTCGACCCACTCTCTCTTTGTGTTGGATGTGCACGACAGGAAGAACGACGACGACCCTCCATCCCCCCCCCTTCCAACCGCGCGGCCGCCCGCCCGTTGTACTCACACTACCCGCTGATGGTGTGTAACGCTCTCAGGGAGATGAATGTTACGAACAAGGCTACCCCGAGACGCTTCTTGAGGCCCACGGGAAGTCGATGCGCAACATTGCCACCACGGAAACCGAGGTATCAGCGAAAGGGAAAGCCACGTGCCGTTTCCCGAATGGCCTCAAGGTTGCTTCCAAAAAAAAAACAAGTTTTAAGCTGGTTGTGGAAGTGGCCTTCAAACAAGGCCCCACCTCCGTAACGTTTGTCGAGCATGATTCCTCCATTTCACAAAATAAAAAAAAAACGGTGCACGCGAAGCTGTTGTCCCCCACAAGAGGACTGATGGCGCCACGGTATACGCCGTTCATTCCCTGCAAGCAGGCAGCCTTGGATACGTAACACCCCCTCCCCCAACCTCGTGCCACCCCCGCCCCCCACCCGCGTGATGTACAGGGTTCGCCGACTCCTAGTCGGAAAAAACGAAGGTATCTGATGAAGCTTTCGCCCACCCGACGTTCCCCCAAGAACCGGGTGACCAAGAGGCCGCCAGGGCGAGAGGACGGGAGCGGCGGCGGGGGGCGCAGCACGTCCCCGTTGCACCGGTTCGTGAGGGCTGTCTCGCCCAAGCGAAGCCGGGTTGCTGCGGGCTACACCACGCTACCCCAGGAGGAGGAACCGCACTAGCAAAGCCTTCTGTATGTTGTATGCATAGATGCGAACACTCAATGATTGCTAGCTTCCATAAGACCCCGGCCAACCCTTGATTCGGAGGATCTGGATGCGGTTTTCCTCTTTGTGGACTACATGCCTCGTGTGTGTTTTGAAGTAGAAATAATAACGGATACTAATCGAGTGAGAAGAAAAAATCGACGTGCAGAATAGACGAAGATAGGTGCTGCAGTAATAAAAAAGAATGCTCGCACCACAGAAAAAAGTGCGCGACCTTGAAGCCTGGTGCCGACGGGGCGGGATTGTCCTTCGCCTCAAGAGGGGGGGTGTCTTCGGATCCCGCCACCTGCCTCATGCACAACGCGTTGTCAAACGATCTGCGTGTCGGGACCCTTGGTGATGATGACAACCAAGGCGCATACACGTTTGACTCCTGTTTGCCGGCTGGTTGACCGTACAGGAGCCACGTATGTAACTCCAGCAAATAGGCACACCCCGACATCAACCTATCTCCTTTCGCGCCAAAACCAAAACACGCCTGAACTGCCGCAGCACAGAAAAAAACTTAGGTCCGACAAGAACCCCACCGAAAATTGCAAAGACACACATACTCCACGTTTCATGCAGACAAACTTGGAGGGAACGTGGCCAATGGAACCCGAAACGGCATTAACACAAGCACGTTCTTTGGGGACGGACAAACAAAATATACAAAGTAAAAGAACGCGCCCGCCCCCCCCTCCCGTCCAACGGGATGGATCGATCACGCCGCGTGTATTCTTCGGTCTAAAAGCCCCAAATGAACAGGAAAAACAAAGAGACTATTGGCGCACGTTCGACTGATCGTTGCACAAATGTCGATTTCTTACACAATTTCGCGCTTATCGAATGGCAGCACCCAGCTCCAACAAACGGCGCAGTCTTCATTCACCTCGGAAGCTTACATGCTACTCACGACGCGAAAAAAGACAAGAAAAATATCGAAGAAAAAACTCAGGAAGGTCGAGGTACCGCATGCACCACAACAGTATCACCGCGATTCCTACTCGCCGTTGCGACCAGAATGACATTTACGGCTGCACACACCCTTCGGTGAGCAAGATGGATGGATGGATGGGTGTATCACCACTCAGAAGGGTGGGAATATCATCACTCATGCACGGAGCCTCCTGCCCCGTCCCGGGCTGTTGCTGATCTCGGCCAGCGGGCTCGCCTTCGCCCTGCTCGACTTGCGTCGGGTGCTGCTGCGCTTTTCCCTCGCGGGCGATGACACCTTGGTGACGGCGCTCTCGTAGCCTGGGGCAGCAGCAACAGCGTGTTCAATCGCACGCGTTTAAGATCCGTTTACACAACCAACTGAGGAAGGTAGATGGGAGGGGTCGTCAGCAGCGACTACATTGCCGACGAGGGGGGTGACGCGAATAGCAACAACCTTCTACATACCGAGGTTTGAAGTCAAGCGAGAACGGGGGGGGTGGTCTCGGACGCTGCAACCCAACGGACAGAGACGGGCGAAATAGGGAAGAGCAAAAACACTACAAAACCACCGCCACGCCACAAGCGTCGGCGGGAAACTAAAAAAAAAACAGATTCCGTCTTGCGAATTCTGAAGCTTACGAGACCGACCAAACCAGAGAACGAGAGGACGAGCCACATCCTAACATCCCGTGTGCTGCTTACCATCATCTTCGTCGTCGTCCTCCGACTCGACGGCGTTGTCGTCATCGTCGACGGTTCCACCACGGCCATCTCCGGCCTCCGCTTGCCCATGCTCCGTGCCATCATCTTCGCCGTCGCTTTCCTCCTCGTCCTCGTCTTCCGAAGTGTCTCGATCCTCCTCCTCAGCAGCAGCGGCAGCCGCGGCCGCCACCGCCTCCGCTTCCGCGTGCGCCATGCGCTCGCGCGCGGCCACCTTGCTCTGGCGGAAAGGTCGGCGGGACGGCTGCTGCAGGCTGGCAGACGGAGAAGAAGAGGCCGTGTTGCTGCTCCGCTTCTGCGGGAGACACGGAAACAGCAACAATGCAACCGGAGGAGGGGGTCGAAAGAACGGAGAGAGGGAGGAGCTCCAAAAACATCGATATCGATCAAACATCGGTAGGTCTCTCGGAGGTCGGCGACATGTTTCACTAAAAGACCTTGGGCTTCTCCCTTCTTCCCCTCGCTCCTCGACAAGCTTTTGCTTAGACATGGGTTGTAGCGAAGGGGGGGGTCTTTCTGGCGAGCAGGGCTAGACTCACCCTCAAGGGATGACCGAAACCTTCTTGCTGTTGCGCATATCCGCCGCGAGGCATGCGCGTGGTGGTGTAGTTGGGTCGGCACTGATGGGGTCAGGCGAAAAAATGTAGATGCGCGGGCCTCTGGCCGTCGGCGTAGGCAGCGATGCCCATCTCATTTTTTGTGCGCGGAGGCAGACACCGTCAGAAGGTGGACGGGAACTATGTACACGGCCCTAGGTTGGCTAGAGGGCGCTGCATTGCCTCAGTAACCTGGCTTCGC